TCTCTGAGGAATTGTCCACGCTGCCGTCATGGAGGGTTGGTATTACATAGCAGTTGAGAACACTTTTCTTTGTTTCTGTTGTTTGATTCTCTTCTTCATCTTTAAAGAAATGTCAACGCTGCCGTCTTGGAGGGTTGGTATTACATAGCAGTTGAGCACACTTTTCTTTGTTTCTGTTGCTTCATGTCTCTTCATCATCTCCGAGGAAGTGTCCATGCTGCCGTCCTAGAGTGTTGGTATTACATAGCAGTTGAGAACTTTTTTCTTTGTTTCTGTTGTTTCCTGTCTCTTCTTCATCTCTGAGGAATTGCCCACGCTGCCGTCTTGGAGGGTTGGTATTACATAGCAGTTGAGAACTTTTTTCTTTGTTTCTGTTGCTTCATGTCTCTTCATCATCTCCGAGGAAGTGTCCACGCTGCCGTCCTAGAGTGTTGGTATTACATAGCAGTTGAGAACTTTTTACTTTGTTTCTGTAGATTGATTCTCTTCTTCATCGCTAAGGAATTGTCCACCCTGCCGTCTTGGAGGGTTGGTCTTACATAGCAGTTGAGCACTCTTTTCTTTGTTTCTGTTGCTTCATGTCTCTTCATCATCTTCGAGGAAGTGTCCACGCTGCCGTCCTAGAGTGTTGGTATTACATAGCAGTTGAGAATTTATTTCTTTTTTTCTATTGTTTGATTCTCTTCTTCATCTCTAAAGACGTGTCCACGCTGCCGTCTTGGAGGGTTCGTCTTACATAGCAGTTGAGAACTCTTTTTTTTGTTTCTGTTGCTTCATGTCTCTTCATCAACTCTGATGAATTTTGTCTACGCTGCCGTCTTGGAGTGTTGGTATTACATAGCAGTTGAGAACTCTTTTCTTTGTTTCTGTTGCTTCATGTCTCTTCATCATCTCCGAGGAAGTGTCCATGCTGCCGTCCTAGAGTGTTGGTATTACATAGCAGTTGAGAACTCTTTTCTTTGTTTCTGTTGTTTCGTGTCTCTTCTTCATCTCTAAGGAAGTGTCCACGCTGCCGTATTGGAGGGTTGGTATATCATACCAGTTGAGCACGCTTATCTTTATTTCTATTGCTTCATGTCTCTTCTTCACTTCTGAGGAATTGCCCTCGCTGCGGTCTTGGAGGGTTGGTCTTACATAGCAGTTGAGCACTCTTTTCTTTGTTTCTGTTGCTTCATGTCTCTTCTTCATCTCTAAGGAATTGTCTACGTTTCCGTCTTGGAGGGTTGCTATTACATAGCAGTTGAGAACTTTTTACTTTGTTTCTGTAGATTGATTCTCTTCTTCATCTCTAAGGAATTGTCTACGCTGCCGTCTTGGATGTTTGGTATTACATAGCAGTTGAGAACTCTTTTCTTTGTTTCTGCTGTTTCATGTCTCTTCTTCATCTCTAAGGAAGTGTCCACGCTGCCGTCTTGGAGGGTTGGTATATCATAGCCGTTGAGCATACTTTTCTTTGTTTCTATTGCTTCATGTCTCTTCTTCATCTCTGAGGAATTGCCCATGCTTCCGTCTTGAAGGTTTGGTATTACATAGCAGTTGAGCCCACTTTTCTTTTTTCTGTTGTTTGATGTCTCTTCTTCATCTCTAAAGAAGTGTTCACGCTGCCGTCTTGGAGGGTTGGTATTACATTGCAGGTGACAACTCCTTTCTTTGTTTCTGTTGTTTCCTGTCTCTTCTTCATCTCTAAGGTATTGTCCACGCTGCGGTCTTGGAGGTTTGGTATTACATAGCAGTTGAGAACTTTTTCTTTGTTTCTGTTGCTTCATGTCTCATCTTCATCTCTAAGGAATTGTCCACGCTGCCGTCTTGGAGGGTTGGTATTACATAGCAGTTGAGAACTTTTTCTTTGTTTCTGTTGCTTCATGTCTCTTCTTCATCTCTGAGGAATTGTCCACGCTGCCGTCTTGGAGGGTTGGTATTACATAGCAGTTGAGAACTTTTTCTTTGTTTCTGTTGCTTCATGTCTCTTCTTCATCTCTGAGGAATTGTCCACGCTGCCGTCTTGGAGGGTTGGTATTACATAGCAGTTGAGAACTTTTCTTTGTTTCTGTTGCTTCATGTCTCTTCTTCATCTCTGAGGAATTGTCCACGCTGCCGTCTTGGAGGGTTGGTATTACATAGCAGTTGAGAACTTTTTCTTTGTTTCTGTTGCTTCATGTCTCTTCTTCATCTCTGAGGAATTGTCCACGCTGCCGTCTTGGAGGGTTGGTATTACATAGCAATTGAGCACTCATTTCTTTGTTTCTGTTGCCTTAAGTCTCTTTATCTATGAGAAATTCTGGTCAACATTAACTGTCATATTGGATGATTGATTTTACGTATTAGTTCATCATTCGGGTTATTTTTTTTTTTTTTTGTTTTTGTTTTTCTTTTGAAATTTTCCCTGATTCTTAATACTGTATTTAACTTTTGGAAGGCATCTTTCGCTTTTTTAATGCCTCTCCGGATATGTCACACATCCTCTCGTCTGTTAAACCACTTTAAAATTTTAATAATAGCTAGGAAAAGGCAAATGGCATTTTTTAAAAAGCTAAAAAAGAACAACTGGATTTGTCCCAGGATTATCAAGTTTATTTTTCTGGGTATAAAATTAAAAATAGCGTGTAAATTAAATTAACGAATGGAATGTAAATAAAATTATGAATTTCAAGAAACTAGAATCCAATAAACTTCAGACCCAGTAAGCATTAACCTCTGTTTACAGAAGAAAGGCCCACGGGATCTGATATACAAGGACTCTAGAACCTTGAGGTGATATGAGGAGTGGGACCTAGATAAAATCAAAAAACGGTCCGCACTAAAATCAAACACACAATTCCTGCTATTTATTACATGCTCAGCAATAGCACAGCCAGATGTATTGTTTAGTTGGCTTTTCCTGGCATCTGTATTCAAAATCCTAGGAGGGTAAGTGTTGTTTTATTCTGAAATCCAAACGTTGGGAGGTCCTCCCTATGTAGTCGAGTCCACAACTACACTTATATTTATAAATCACTGAATTAACATCTTTACCCCGTTCTCGTCATTGTCCATTAAACAGTGTCAATCGATCTCCCATGGGAACCTTT